TATTTTTTCTTTCTGGTGTAAACTCCTTACATTTAAAAGAAAGATTTGCTGGTTTGGTTTTAAATAAGTTAGCAAGCTGCATTTCAGCCATGCATCTTTGATCACGAGAATTTCTCTTGAGATTATTGACAAAATGAATTGGATGTTGGCGTAAATTCTCAAGATTTATCTAAATGCCCAGGTAAAGTTGAGACTTATTGCATGCATCATAACAAGAAGGATTAGTGAATGGACTTGCATGCCATTCTCACCATGCCCAATGCCACCCAAGAACTTCCACGATGTGGTTCCTGTTACCTAAGCATACATAGCAATGTCCTATAAACAGCGATGGGGTAAATGGCTGTTTATGCTTACTGCTGTTGGTTGAAGAAAGAATGCTGCCCAGAGCGCTCAGCTCTTTGAATAACACCATGCAAATTTCTAGATACATCACAGTAGACAGATAAGACCTCGGAATTGCACCTCATTTGGAAGATGGCACCTCGACACTGCAGACTTCTTCTGCATTCTAAGCATCAACCTAGATTTTGTGCTCAAGTCCGAGAAGGTGCTTGGGACCCACGGCCCCCCTGACAGAAGAGGTACGAGTGAAACCGGTTGAGCCAAACTGATACCTCTGAACAAAGGTGTTGGATGAACAGAAGTTTACTTCAAAAGGTAGTCAACAATTTGAGAGTTGACAAATCCTTTTCTTCAACTAATTTTGCTTTCAGGTCAACCAGGCACCTATGGTAAAGCTCCTAGGAGAGGAGGAGGAGGAAGTGGCCAAACTCAGTATAGGCCTTACTAGATGACTTGGCCTTTCCGAAGCTCTCCATGAACAAGGTAAAGCCTATGTCTTGCAGATACTTGAAGAAAACATTTACATTTGTAATTGAAAAGCTAGTTCAACGCTGCTTGGTTTAAAAATGGTTAATTAAATTGCCCTTGCGTTCCATTTACTGTTTTGAAGGCAGCAGAATTTTTATTATGTGTAGGCAAAAAGAAAATTTCTGGCCACAAATTTGCCTGAAACTTTTAGTCACCTGCTGACCTGAGGATAGATTGTTAGCATCTGTTGTGGAAATTTTTAAAAAGTGATCAATTGGAGGTCAGCTGCTCTGGTAAAATTGTTACACTCTCATTCACTTGTGAGAATTTACAGTCCTTGAAAGTATATTGCTGTTCTGCCATGAAAATACCACTCGCCATCCTGACCTGGAAATATATTGCCATTCCTTCAGTGGGACTGGTGCAAAATCCTGAAACCCTTCCCTGATGGCATTATGAGTGGCCCTACAGCAAATGGACTGCAGTGGTTCAAGAATGCAGCTCACCACCACCTTCTCAAGGGGGAATTACAGAAGGGCAACAAATGTTTGTCAATCAGTGAAGCCCGCATCCCTTCTGTGCATAAAAACTTTTTTAAAATGGCCTTCATTGGTTGGCTGGAGTGATGAGGATGATCTTTATGGTAGGTTTTAGTGCTGCTATTGTATGGTGCAGTAAAATTGAGTCCTAGTTTGCTAAAAGCTTGAATCACCTTTTCATTTTTGAATCAACAAATCATGGGATTCTGGCTGCTTTGTACTTGAGACTTTTTATATAAAGAAAAAGTTTGATTTGCTTTTTGATTTTTCGAATTTGACTGACTCTTCTGATGATAAGTGAAATTTCTAAATGCACTTGGGGCAGTGGAGAATTGTGAAAGGATCGCAACCGAAACATGAGTGGGGAGGGCAAGAAGAAAAGGGGAGAGGTATGAGGGACTAGAAACTTAGCCTCATTCATTGAACATCAGACTTATTGGCGTCCCATGACATTTAAAAATTGGTAACATGCTTCATATTGAACTGTTCATTGTCTGTGGAATGTAAGTTTTTTCCTTGATCGTAATCATATTATAGTTATATAAAGAATTTCTGCATAAAAATCAAAGCTGTATTGTGGACTTCTGAAATAGGTAATGATTATCAAATTCTAACAGTAATGATAAAGTCACAGAGAGCTTTGGCAGAAGTGAATTGGTATGTGTCACCTTAACTGTTTGCTTCCAGATTGAACTAGCTCTTTAATCTGTCTTGTAATCTAGATTTTTAAATCAATTCTAATTTTATGGTGCAATTATATTGCATTATTGTAAGTATTAAATATGGGTTTAACGTTTTTATTCTCCCATTTAACTCTTTCTTTTGAGCTTTTACATAAATACGTACAGCAGTAAATAGTTTAAGGATAACCTAGACCTATTTGAACGCTTAAATGAGTAAAAGATCTCAGGTAATGTACCATAATGGGTTTTAAGAATATCAGAGCAACAGCCTGATAAGAATTCTACCAGTCTAATTCTGACTTGTACCGTTATGTTTGTACCTGCCAGTGGGAGCTTCATTGCAGGCCATGTCACCATGACCACACGATTCGCACAAGCCTGCACATTGTGGACAGAATTCGAGATGCCCTGTGGTATGGTCTCTTCCAACCTTCTGTCTCACCATAAAGATTAAAGACAGTTTTAAAAAAAAAAACTCTAATTATACACTTTCATTCACGCAGACATTGTTTTTCCTTTTTTAAAAATAAAATTATGTAGCAATATTTTCTTTACAGGCTCAAGTTAAGTGGTAATATAGCCATGACCTCCTGTTTCTTCAATGGATAAAGCCGTTCTTACAAATTGTGCTTTCTATTAATAGTGTGTAATTTGATAATGTACTACCAATTGCTAAATAATGCTTGCTTTTTTCTTTCTATAGCACAGTAGTGATGAGTGACTCATGTCTGTAATGTTAATGGACTTGTATATTACAGCATCTGCCGTGTGTGATATATAGTTTATGTATTGTAAATGCAGTTGGCTTAACAACTGAAGGCTGGGCCCAAGAGCATGGAGGACTTGGATAATTCCTTGAAGATACTACTAATAAAAAAAAAACATAGTTTTGCTCTTCAAATCTGCTAAACACATATTGACAAATAGAGAAAACATGTCTCGGCCAGCCCAGTACTTCACACGGTTAGTGTGTGCTCTTTTATTTAAATAGAAACGTAGATAAAAGCTTAACCTTGCTGTGTTGTTCCTTCTGTTTTCCAGGTGGCAGCAAGTATTGTAACGAGGGAATAAACATCTTTTGAAATCCTTTAAGAAGTGAAGAAACCTGTCACAGATTTTGTTTTGCATTATGGGCAGTGTTGGATCTGGTGGACTTTTTTGCGTTTCCTTTGTAATTTTTAAATGCGAGTAATATTTGATGACTGTGATATTTTTTTGTAAAGGAGAAAAAGTTGTTGTGTGAAGTTTTTAAACTAATATAATGTACCACCATTTAGTTTTACTGCTGGTGAGCACATCGTGGATCAGTGTGGCAGATGTAAGGGGAAAATTTTTTTGGTGTATGAGCTCTGTGAAATATTTCCATTTGTAACTCCTCCTGCGTGATTAAATAAAAACCTTTGTACATGTTCATGGCATCACTTTTATTTTAACCCTCCTCCCCTCTCCATCATATAAATTTATATTACAACAGCATCTGCAAATGAACTACAGTTTAAATGTATAGAATGTGTGATCAGTGCAGGAGATGGGACACTGTCTTTAAATATGATCCATCTGCGCATCTGCAGTTGCACCCAACAAATCACTTCACAAGTGTGTGTGAAATACTTAGTTTGTATATGAGATCATCAAAAGTCGTAATCTTTGTAGTAAAGGCAGGCTCATTGGAATCCAACATGCAGTGATTTTCTTGTATCCACTGCAATGAGGGTATTTGTGTGTTCACTGAAATTAAGATAAATTGTGACTGCTAGTTTGGATTACACTATTCCACATCTGTACAGTTGGGTTGTATTACCTGGTGGGAGAATTTTGAAACCGGATGGGTCAGAAGCCCTTTACATTGGAGTTTCACCAGGGCCAATTTGTCCCAAATGCCCCAGTAAACATTGACATTCATTTGTAGTACAAGGTGCTTTGTGGGTGTGAACAATGCTCTGTGTACATGTGTGGTGATTCACCTGTGTGACACTGGCTACAGATAAAATCGTAATTATGTTTGGCATTGAGGATATTTTCACAACCAACTGGCATATTTGGAGTTTGATAAATTCACTCCTGGTCTTTAGCTGAATTTTTTCACATCATCTTAACAGAAGTTTTGAATGCGATCACTAGGGTGGACTCAATATGCACTTCTTACAAGAGTGAGGTTTGATTCTAGATTTCTTGGGAGCAGGGTGTCTGAGGTTTCTCTTGGGAAAAATAAGTGACTGTTTTTGCAAGTTTGCACCTGCTTTGTACATTTTACAAAGTACATTGCTTTGAAATCAAAGATAACAAGGTGTATAGCTGGATGAACATAGCAGGCCAGGCAGCATCAGAGGAGCAAGGAAGCTGACGTTTCAGGTGAAGAAGGGTCCAGACCTGAAACGTCAGCTTTCCTGCTGCGTTCATCCAGTTCTATGCCTTCTTATCTCAGGTTCTCCAGCATCAGCAGTTCCTACTATATCTCTTACTTTGAAATCAGATGTTTGTGCTACTCAAGGAAGCCCATCTGCTTGTCCCTAGACTTTTTTGGAACAGAAGAACGCCTGTTGGCCTGTCATGACTGTGCTCAGCAAAAATAAATTTCTTATCTTGACAAGTTTCTGGTCTTGCTCTGATTCAAGTGCCTTTTTTTATAATGTGCGTTGAGGGTTTCTGCATCCGCCAATCTTTCATGCAGTAAGTATCAGTCTCCTGCTGTGCAAACATTTCTCAACTTCCCTTCATTCTTCTACCAAGAATATTTCGACCCCGGAGAGTGGGGTAACGTGCACAGTACCTTTGGTTTGATGAATGGGTTAGGTGTAGGGTGGATGGACTGAACGGAGTCGGCGCTGTTCACCTGCAACTTTCAAGGGGGCGGGGCACAGGAGATCACGTGTTGGCGATGTGTTTCAAATGACAGGTGCTGGGGGCGTGGCAGCTCACGTGTGACCTTGGCTTGTTCTGATTGGTGCAGGGCTGGTAGCGGGTCACATGACATAGGGGGTGTTGGGTAGAGGGAGGAAGATGGCGGCCGTGGTGGATGATGAGGTAATGGAGCGGCCGGCTGCAGCAACAGCGCCACTACCACCATCGTCCTGTGCCCCGGTAGCGCCTTTGGCGATGGGACCTGGCGACGTGGAACCGGCTGAGGCTGTCGGAGGAGGCAGGAGGACCGGTGAGCGGAAGACCAGCTTCTCTCCCCACACCACCCCCCAAATGTATCTCGCTCCCTCGCTCGTTCCATCCCCCCCCTCC